GGGCGGGGGGCGGGGAGGGCGCCGCGGCTCCACCCGCAAGCTGACGAGACCGGGGCCGAGTCCGCGCACCCCTGCGGCACACGCCACCCGTGCTGTCCAGCAGGCGTCGGCGGCGGTGGCGGAGCATCACCAAGCGGCGGGCTGGCGCGCTGCATCGCGGCACACCGCACGAGGTGGCGCAGGCGTCGCGGCTGCAGGACGCCTCGGCCTTGGAAACCTTCTGTGTTTCTCTGCCACATTGGGTCTCCTCATACAGTCTGGAACTTCTGGATAGCGCGTCGCCGCGGCGGCCCTGGCGACACGCGATGCCTTGCAGGCGGATTGCGTGTCGCACCGCTCCGCGGGGCGGGAGGCTGGGAAGGGTTCGGCACTTGTCGCTTTGGGACCGGGACGTGGATAGAGAGTGTCGCACCAAAGTGTGGTGGTCCAGAACTGGCGGAGCGATACGCTATCCAAGTGCTCCCAACAGCAGTCCTAGGAGACGAGTGTTCTCGCGCACGCGGACTCCATCGCCCTCGCGCACAGGGCAACTAGCGCCGATGCCTGCGAAGGACTTCGCTTCAGTGTGGCGATTCTTGCAGCAAGATTCTATAAACACCGAAAAGATAGATCAACCACTCGCAGGATGCTCGGACAACGCGTGTGAACCAAACATTGGCGGAGGAGAACGCCGTGTGCTTGAGGAGAAATGAGAGGAGAGCAGAAGAGGAGCGGAGGTGGGATGACGGAGGAGGGATAGGGAGACAGGAGGAAGAGGAAGTGGGCAAGGAGGAGATGAGAAAAATAAGGATGGTGATAAGACGGAGGGGAAGGGTTCATGCATTTGGCATGTGTGTGGGTTGTCCCGAGAGCAACTCAGGGCACACACACACACGACGAAGCGCAACCAGCCCGCAGAAGGCACCGCGGGGGGGACGGGGGAGGAAGGAGGGGGGAGGGGGGAAGAGTAGAAGAGGGAAAGGAGGAGGAGGAGGAGGAGAAGCAGGAGGAGGAGGAGGAGGAAAAGCAGAAGCAGGAGGAGGAGGAGGAGGGAAGAGGGGGGGAGGAGGGAAGAGCAGCAGCAGGAGGGTCAGACCGAAGCCTGCGAGTCTCGGGCCGGGGCCGGGCAGGCGGAGCGAGCGGGGGGGTGGGCTCCAACGAGTGCCCTTCCCCCTCAACGGCATCGCAGGCGGCTTCTCCACCCCCTTCTCCTCCTCCTCCTCCTCCTCCTCCTCCTCCTCCTCCTCCTCCTCCTCCTCTTCCTCCTCCCATCCCCGAGGTCGCCACCCAAAAAACCAGGCCGCCGGGAGACAACGCAGAATTCGGGTGTGCGCGTCCCCAGAGGGGGGCTGCTGGGGTGAAGGCCTGCTCGAGGAGGGGCGCTCCCCCGCAGTTTCTGCTGCGTCCTGCCCGGAAGCCCGCAGACGCCGGGGATCGGTCGGCTACACGCAAGAGTGACCCTGGGTGAAGAGTGACCGTTGGTGCGCGGCTTTGGGGGGGCCGCGGTGGGACCAAGCCCGAGCGCGCAAGACGCTATAGCATCGCAATCGCGCTCGGCGGCCGGGGGACCCCAATGGGCCCGCACCAAAGGTCACTCCGGCGAAGGGTCACTCTTACGGGCAGTCAAAGCGGGGGGTCTCCAGGCCCTCCCTCTCCAGTACCGGCCCGGTGCAGACCGATCCCGGGCCCACTGCCAGGAGAGCGCACAGACCGGTCGACCGGACCGCGCCCGACATCGGCCTGGGCCTCAGAAGCGGGATCGGTGTTGGACTGCGTAGTTTTAGCTTGGGCATGTCCTCCTACAGGCGGATTTCGGAAGCGAATTTCCAATAGTCAAACAATGTTCAAAAATAGTCTAGAAAGTACAGAAGATCGTCCCCTGACCAACTTTTTACTATTCTTGTATCCTCCTCCTGTAAGAGGACACGCTCGACTTCAGCGTAGTTTGCGTCTTCCCTCTCACGAGCGGCGAGCATACCCGCATCCGCGGTCCTCGCCCTCTCGGTTTGGGCTCCTGGGCGCGATCCCGCGGATACGCGGTCGCACGGCTACGTTCCGCGCCCTTTCTCCGTGGAAGAGCGCCCCGTATCCGCGGGGTCGCGGCCCCGGGACGCCCGGCACGCGAGGCCGCGGACGCGGAGATGTGCTTCGCACACGGCCCTCCCCTCCCCTCCCTCCCCAAACCTCCGAAGCCGTGTCTTCTCGAGGCCCGGCGGCTTCCGTGGGACTTCCGCCTTCGGTAGCCCGCTGTGGGCCAACGGGGACATCCCATGGAAGATCCGGACAGACCAACCGATCCACGGGAGGGGCCGAGAGGTCTGGAGGGCACGCCCTGAGAAGAAAGAATGCATCGGAGAACGGGATCCTCGTTTCATCCCCCTCCTCATTCCTGCCTCCTCTGCCTCCCCTTCCTCTTCTTCCTATTCCCCTTCTCCTGCCCCCGGGGATCCCTATCGTCCTCCCCTCCTGGTCCTCATACCTTCTCCCCCCCCCTCTTCTTCTCCCCCTTGCCCCGCCTCCTCCTCCTCCTCCTTCACCCACTCCTGCCCCTTCCCCTGCTTGTGGACCCCTTTCTTCTCCTCCGACTCGTTCTCCCAACACGAAGGTGGAGAGGAAGGAGAAGTGAGGAGGGACCAGGGAGACGAAATGAGGCGGCAGGAGGTGGAAGAAGAGGACAGTGACAACGGAGGCCTCCCAAATACAATCTCGGTAGATGGGGTCGGATGATCGCGTCGCATCGACGATGCATCGTCGGTGCATCGGCGGCGTCAGCGATGCATCGGTGCCGCCGGCATTGAGAACATCGGGCTCCACATCGAGCCGCTTCGCCAATGCATCGGCGATGCGGCGTGATCCTTGGCCCCATCCACCCGGACCCATTTGGGAGGCCTGGAGATAAGGAGGAATGAGATGAGATATGGGAAGTAGGAGGGGAGAAGGGACGCAGAGAAAAATAGGATGAGCAGGAGAAGCATAGGAAGACGGCGACGGCAATGACAGTGGCGACGGTGGCGACGACGACGACGATCAGGACCAAGACGACAACGACGACAACGACCACCACCACGACAACGACCACGACGACCACCACGACCACCATGACGACGCCCGCCCCCCGCTGAGAGCGGAATCCTCGTCTACTCCTCGTCTACTCCTCCTCCTCCTCCTCCTCCTCCTCCCCCTCCTCCCCCTCCTCCTCCGCATCTCCTCCTCCCTCCTCCTGCGCATCTCCTCCTCCCTCCTCCCTCCTCCTACACCCCCTGCCAACGACCACCACGGCCGACGACCGACGACCAACGATCACGACGACAACCCACGACCACGACAACCCCCTGGAGGCGGCGACGATCGGCGGCCATCGGCAGCCTTCGGCGGCCATCGGGGGCACATCTACCGCACATCGGCTGTCTGCGGCCGTCATCGTCGGCACAACGGCGGCCTCCGGGGTCCTTCGGCGGCCGCCGCGACGTTGGCGACGGCGGCGGCTGCCGCAGCGGCCATCGAAACAGTCTGCGGCACTCGGCGGCACATCGGCGGCACATCGGACATCGGCGGCCTTCGTCGGCACATCGGCGGCCTTCGGCGGCACACAGGCGGCACATCGGCGGCCACCGGCGGCACATCGGCGGCAAAGGCGACGGCCATCGGCGGCGGCCACGGCGGCGGCGGCAATTCCGCGCCTCGGGCTGGGCCTGCGCGGGCGGCGGGACCGCGGCCTGCGCTCGGCGGGGCGGCGACAGCGAGGTCGGCGGCCACGACGGCGACGACCACGGCCACGACGACCACGCTGGCGCCAGCGACGGGCAACGGACGACGACAACGACCACGACCACGACGACGACGACGACGGCAACGACCACGACGACGACGACGACGACGACGGCAGGGACACAAATGACGACGACGAAGACGACGGCGAACAACGGACGACGACGGACGACGACGAGCACGACGATGACGACCACGACGACGGACGACGACGAGGACAACGACGACAACGACGGTTAAGACGACTGCAACGACGACGACGACGACGGCGGCGACGACGACGACGAACGACAAACGAGGACGATCCTCCTCGTCATTATTATCATCCCTGCTCCCCGCTCGAACAAAGGAGCAGGAGGGACGGAAGAACGGAGGAATGGGCATGGAGGCGGGGCAGACACGGAGAGAGGGAGGAGCGCAAACGTAGGGAAGGATGGAGCTGCTGGAGGAGGCGGAGCAAGTACGGAGGAGTGTTAGACGGAGGATGGGGGGAAGAGAGCAGGAAAAAGAGCGAGGAAGGATAGTAGCGGGGAGGGGGCAGAATGAACGTGTGCAAGGAGACGGAAGAGGGAGCAGGGACGAGGAGCAAGTGTGGAAGAACAGTTGCAATGCGAGTCGACAACGAACTACGAACGCCTGCGAGCGATCTTCTCGACCCTGCTTACAGCCCTCAGCCATCGGTCGGAATAGATCCGACTTAACTATTCGCTCCGATGGAGGAGGGAGATGGAGGAGGCATGGGCATTGAGTGGCTGGCGGCTCCTCCTCCTCCAGACTCTTCCTCCCCACGCTCCTCCTTCCCACCCGTTTTCCTCCCTCTCATGCTCGAACACCCCCCTCCTATGTAGCTCCCCCCTCCCCCTGAGACGAAGCCAGGACAAAAACAACATCGGATCGGGACAAATCGGGGATCTCTGAGATCCGCCGGTCCTGCAGGATGTATCGGGCGACGCGACGCGGCCTTCTCAGAGCGGCCCAGAATGCGCTGACAGCGCTCCCCAACGCTCTGGAACGGTTCATCCCTGCCCTAGCCCCAACGGCCTCCTCCCCCCATCCACTCCCCACGCCCTCCTGCACAAAGACCACTGTCGATCTTGCCCTGTCTGGCGACAGCCGCTGCTGACCGATTCCCTCCTGCTGCCCCCCCTCGAGGGGCCTCACAAACACACCGTGCAAAACAGCGCGCAGGGAACCCAGAACATCGCGGAGACCCATCCAGAGCAGCCTCCTTCTTCGTCGTCGTCGCCGTCCCCCTACTCGGGCCGGTGCGGAACTCGCCCCTCCGTGCCGCCTGATCTTCGCCTACGCCGTGTCCCACGTCGTCGTCGTCGCCGTCGTCGTCGTCGTCGTCGTCGTCGTCGTCGTCGCCCTACTTTTCCTGTAGGCTGGAACATCATCATCCTGGGGCGGCACACCGAGGGCCGCCTTTCAGCCCACCCGACGGCTGGCCGAAGGCCGCCCAGATGCCGCCCTGCAGGCCGCCCGACGGCTGGCCGAGGGCCACCACCGGAGGTCGCCCTTCACGCCGCCGCCTGGGGTTTTCCCAGGGAGAGCACGGCCTCCGACCCGCCACGCACATCTCACACCTCAGCTGGCCCTACCAGTAAAACCGCGCTGCCGTGAGAATCGTGAGACTGGGCGGGGCCGAGGAAGAGCGAGATCGAGGATGAGGACGAGGAAAGTGGGCGCTGGAGCGGAGCCGCCTCTGATCGTTGCTTCTGCTCGCCCCTCTGCTTCCGGCTCGCCGGGACCGTGGCCGGCGGCTCGGGCACGGTGGACAGCTGCGCGGCCGTCAGCTGCGCGGCCGGGGGGGGCACGTGCGTCGTCGTGAGTCGTCGTCCGTCGTTCCCCTGGTCGTCGCTGCGGCCGCCGTCGTGAGTGTGGTCGTCGTCGTCGTCGTCGTCGTCGTCGTCGTCGTCGTGGTCGTCGTCGTCGTCGTCGTCGTCGTCGTCGTCGTCGTCGTCGTCGTCGTTGTCGTCGTCGTCGTCGTTGTGGCCGTGGCCACGGCAATCGTCGGCGGAGGAGGACGCAGGTCTGAGGAGGCGTCGAGAGGTCTGAGGAGGGATGATGATGCGGATGATGGTGATGATGATGACGATGGTGATGATAATGGTGAGGATGATGATGATGACGAAGAGGAGAGGAGGAGGAGGAGGAGGAGGAGGAGGAGGAGGAGGAGGAGGAGGAGGAGAAAGAGGAGAAGGAGAGAGGAGAGGAGGAGGAGGAGGAGGAGGAGGAGGAGGAGGAGGAGGATTGCACGGAGCTTTGGGCGCCACGCTTCTGTCTTGTACCTCTAGAGAGCGTGCAGCTGCTGAGAGCAGTTAGGTATGTAATGGGCGCTCCACGAATGCGCACACGAAGTTCGTGGTAGAGTGCGAAAGCGAGGGCCATCAGCCAGAGCACGCGCTCCATAAAGGAGAACGTAGTGGGGCATGGCGCCGAGGTGCAGGCGGGTCCGGAGAGGCATTGGGCGATGGCATCAGGGCCGCCCTAGCATCCAAAAACGCAGCCCCGTTGGTCGAGGATGCGCATCCTGCGGGCGGTGATTCATACACCCGCAATCGTCCCCATCACCGACCAGCTGATGGCGGGGTGAGATTTCGACAAAACCTCCTTCAGAAACTTCCAGCGGGGGGCGCGGGGAGGGACCTGGAGCTCTGGATACTAGGCGCGCATTCGCTTCTGCAGCGTTAGGTAAATCGTGTCTGGGAAAGCGGATCACAGTGGACGGGCGCATGCTCACTGAAGCCGCGGTTTCTTCTGGAGCTCGGAGGCAGGCGTGGCTGTGCGCAGGGCCTCTGCAGCAGCGGCCCACTGCGGGGCCACGACAACCTTCGGGGGTGCGGTCGCACAGGAACTGTGCGATGCCCTGCAGGTCGCGCCAGCGCGGCGGGGACAAGATGTCCTGAGGGTGGCGGACAAGGGTGTTGTGGCGCCGCGAGCACTGAGCTCCGCGCGCCAGGAAGAATGATGGGGGACAATGCGTTGCGCCGTGCGCCAGCTCGTCGCCGCCGTGTAAACAGCAATGGATGATGGGGTGTGGCCTGGTGAAACGAACAAATGTCGTGGCCAGTGAACGATTCGGCGGTAGTTTGAGCAGCTTATGAATATTCGATGTTCGTTTTGTTGAACGAGCAACTGCGGCGCGGACAGAAGTGGGCGGCATAGCCCGATGTAAGGGGAATCGCGAATCCGCACAGACGGAAGGAAGAGCCTGGGGGGGAGTCAGAGGAGAAGGTCTTCAGGATTCTCTCCCACAATTTCTGCGAGCGGGCCCCCAGCTGGAGGGCATCCGTGGCCGCCGAGCCGACGTTCACGCCTGGGTACTTCGTCTCGCCCGCGATGATAAAGTTCTGCCACTGCGGGAGAACCTGGGGCGGGACCGCGCGGGCGTCTGCGATTGCTGCGTCTGCGCATCTGGTCCAAGAGGGGACAGCGACGCACTGGCGAGGGCGGGGGCGGAGAGAGGCGAGGCTCCGGGCGGAGGCGAAAGAAGGGGCCGCGCGAGGCGCGTGAGGTTCGCCGGGGGCGCGCCTATGTCATCGGCGCAACCAGCCGTGGAAACTCTTCGCGGGTCAGTCGGAAGCGCCCGCTGCACGGGGCGAATGACGGGGCCCACTCCGAAGGCCCTCAGGCTGGCGCCGAGGGGGCATGAGTGCAGAACCCCCGACTTGATGAGGAGCAATGGGGCTATCTCCTCGCCAGCGCGCGCGTAGACAGGAACGAAGGACTAAAAGCTTTCGACGGCAGCGATGCGCCCTGGCGGCGGCCCCACCCGCCCTGGCGCCGCGAACAGCCACGCGCGACTCATGCTGAGGAAGGGCGACTTTGATGCCGAAAGCAACAAACAAGGCCATCCTGCAGTCAGCGTCTTCGTGTATGCCCGCAGCCCTCGCGCGAGCATCGAGCGCCGCTAGGCTCGGGCATGAATTCCTTCCGCGCATGAGGCCGTGCTGGGTGTCGTGCGCACGCTCCGCCGCTAACTTTGCTAGAGGGAAGTGAATCGCTGCGGCGAGTGCATCGCTGCGGCGAATGCACTGGCGTCGCAACTATTCAGCGACAGCGGGCCCGCCTCACATGCATCTCGCGGGCTGTCGATGGCATCGCGTATCTGGTCGCCCTTCGGAGGGGAAATGAAAATGGCGCGCGGGCGTGGGCGGCAAGGGAGCTGCGCTGAACGGCGTGAGGAAACGCTGACAGAGGCCGACCATGGTCTCAGGCACCGCCAGCCAAAGCCTGGTGCGAGAGACGGTCGGGCTCCGGGGCAGAGTTCCCGCCGCCTCAAGAGCCCTGCGCAAAGTACCGAGGGAGGGGGTTGGGGAAATCAGAAACCAGGAGAGCGAGGGCAGGTGGAGTCGAGGAAAAGCATAATCTGCTTGCGCGAGACGGCCTTGTCTGAAGCGATGGAGGCCCAGTGGCAGCGAAGAGCCGCGGCAATGTCCTCCGGGGATCGCGCTATTCGTCGGGGGGGGGGGGGGCGGCCCTCCACCGTGCCCGGCGCCTGGGTGGTCTGAGAATGCGCGACGCCGCGAAAGATTACTCGCCTTGGAATGGGCGTCCAGAGCACCGAGCGCCTCTGGCGCGTCCGCTGGACACGGCGCCGCGCTCCCACCGATGGCTGGTCAGAGGCGCGGACTGCGCGAGCCGCCGACTGTCGCGTGGCACGCTCAAGCCATGCTTGGCCGCTGTGAAGGACATCTCTTTGAAACTCAGCTGCGTGGGGGGGGGGGGGGGGGGGGGGGGGGCAGCTGGGGCCCGATGCAGCTGAATAGAGGCGGCCGAGCTCTGCGGCGGCGGCAAGCAGACGCGCGGCGCGGGGGTCAGACCGCCAGGCGGCGCGGGCAATGGCTCGGAGCGCGAGGCGCCAACTCTCGAGCAAGTTGACGCCGCCCGTGCCGAGCGGAAGCTGCCGCAGCCCTTGCGGGTGAGCTCCGCAGCCATGGTATGGTCATGGTCTCCATCGCGGCGTCGCCACGTCGCAGATCGCTCATAGCGCCAAACCCGGCACCACCAGTCATCTTCTTGAGGGGGCATGTGCGCTGCTTGGGGCGGAAGACGAAGTCGTGCATGGGGCGTCTGTCCTCGTCGGAAACCTCTGTGGTTCGATGGTGAACTCGACGGCGGCGCGGTCGCTGCGGCGCGCGTCAGAGAGGGGCGCAGTTTCCCGGGCGCCGTTGAGCTGACAACTCAACAATTCAGGCACGGAGCGAAGGCAGGCGGCAAGGCGATGAAAGACCTGTCGGCGGCGGTGCCAACCGGGTGGCACTTCGGGAAGTGCACTGGGTCGGGATGTCGGTGGCGACCTAAGTGGCGTCGTTGCGCGTAAACTGGCGCCAGAATACCTGCTTCTGGTGGCGGCGGCAGCCCTCCTGCGCCTGCCTTCGAATCTCAGGCTGCGGGAAGAGGTGGGACTGCGGAGTGTTGTCGGTGCAATCGGAGTCGCCAGTGCTGGTGTGGGTTCGCCAGGGCCCACTGATCAGGGGATTGCCACTCCCTCTACGCGGGGCTCCGTCTCCGAGCTTGGGTTCAAGATGCGAGTGGGCGCGATCCTGCCAGGGGCCAGAATGTCGCCTTTGATGGCGAGCTGCCGAAAGAAAAATGGACAACCAGCAGCGTGATCTTGTTCAAGGAATTCGCGTTCGGCCGTGCGAGACCAGGCACAAGCGCTGCGACGTAGCCTGCGCCTCGTGTAAGGCAGCCCAAGTAGATGGCGACGTAGGAGCACGGGCTGCAGGAGAGCATGTCCTCCAGCTCCGCGAGCGAGAGACGTGGCGCTCATGGATCAGGACAATGGCCCTCGAGCGGAACGCGATCTCGAGGCAGCGGAACGCGAGGCGACATCGGCGCGGATTGCGGAATAATCGTCCCCTTGCGCTCAAAGAGACAATTTGTAGCGGCGCGCCTGATTGGCGGGCTCCCAGAAGGCCCAATTCGTTCTAATGGACCAAGCCGATGTGCCAATCGAGATGTAGGCCGACTCGCATTTCAATGTGATGAGGTCCCTGTTGACGCCCACCCTCGCGACTGCAGCTGGGTTCCAGTTAAGCTTGGACTGTTCGCAAAGGCCCTGCGGCTGTACTTCCACGATCGGCATCGCCGCCTGCTGCCCGATGCCCGATGGACGGGGGGCCTTGGAACTCCATGCCAAGGCAAGACTCCTCCCGTGATGACGGGGCGCCGCTTTGCTTGGAGTTCCGTCCTGGCTTGCTTTGGCGACTTGCCCGTGGAGACGAAAGCGGGGCCCCGGCCCCGTGGAAGTTCTGCACGCTGTCCGCCGACCCGCTTGAGGGCACGCGCGAGCGAAGGGGCTCGAGGCAGCGCAGCCTCTGGGCATCCTTGGGCATGTAGATGGAAACGACGGGCGCTGGCACGTCATCGAATATTTTGTCATGACCTGGTTGAAAATACGCATATTGTATCCGTTGAGCTGTGGCTCGACGGACTTCTGCGGGGTGAACGCTGCTGGGCGCACCAAAGCTGAAAATGGTCGGGTTGAGCTCGCGGTCGTCGTCGGCAAGGCCAGCGAGGTCGATTGCAGCTAGTCAAGCTTCAGCGGGAGAAGTGGCAGCTTCGAGACGTTGTACAGACTGTTGCAGCTTAGACTGCTCTTCTGCTTGTGTTTCCTGTCGCCAGCGTGTGCTGCTGAGGTCCCGTTCAACGCTTTCGAGGCTGGCCTGCTGCGACGCGTAGCAGACCTCGATGGTGGAGCGGAACCCGGCCTGGACGATGGAGCAAGTGTGGTCGAAGAGGTTGCTGATCTGCTGGGTGGCAGGCGTAAGCTGGTTGTTGACAGCGC